TGTAAGATTAGGAAACTTAATGCAAGAAGGATGTTTCCAAGGAGCTGATCTCCTTTGGAATGCTCTGTAATGGTTGCTGTCAAGTCTTTCTGACTTTGTGCATAATCATTACAAGAGGATCAATGCATATAAGTTTACAATCTAACATATTTCAGTAAATGGAATGAATTTGGAATTCTTGCATTTGTAGTAAGGATTTGGGACTATGAAAAGAGAATCATTGGAGTTATGTTCAGTTGATCTATTTCACAAAGTAAAGATCATAGACAAACGTAGTTTGCATACTTGGTGTGTGGCATGACTAGTGTTTAGAATAACATAGTGTACATGCTTGGAGCATGGGACAACTATTGTTTTAATTCAAGAATAAAGTTTATAGTTGAAACGGTATACAATGAATAATTTGTAATCATATTGTGACAAATAAAAGGTGTTTTATTTATATTCATAAGTTCTGATACCATATTGGATTCGATTATTATTTTGTTTCACTTAGCATGTTTTGGCTTCCAGAATAACTAGGTCATTGTTCTGATTGACTAAGCTATTCAAACCATCCACAGTCGATCATATGTTGGAAGTAGATATGAATCAAGACTGTCATAGGTTGGGCTTGTAGAGGTCTAAGATGTTGGACAAGGTGGTGCTATAACACTCATATGTGCTCATAAGTTCTGAGTATTGGATTCAACCCGTGCACATTGGAATCACTTCATAGATTTTATCGTGAGTGATCATGAGACGATAATATCTTATATTGTTCAAACCTAGAGATATGAGTTGTTACTATGAGTTGGTTATACATTGATTGCACGCAAACACATTGGTAATTTGATGTTATAAAACGTGTCTGTGTTTATGATTCAACAAGTAGTAGAACAAGCCATATGAGTCGAAGTTTATCCATTCCCTTTACCTTCGGGATAAAAGCGATATATGCGGGCCCCTTGATGATTTGATGATGACAAATGGAAGTGATCGGCCGAGCCATGACTGATTTGATTTGTTCAATTAGTTAGTCGTCATAAATCGGAAATCGGGAATCAACAAATGGGCAAAGAGAATGATTATAATCCATGTCTCGGTCCATATGATATCTAGAATGGAGGAATATATGATCCCTTATCTAATGGAAAAGTCATTGACAAAGGTCAGAGTTCATCTACAAGGTCAGAGTTCGATAAAAGCTTTTGAGAGCTACATTTGCCAGTCGGTTCTTGAAGTCATACGCAATAATAGTTTTAAACTTATCCAAGTGGGAGACTGTTGGATTAATTTTTAAGTCCATAACTATAATTGGTAAGACTTGACCCGACCCGACCCGGAATGGTCCATTTGGATTGCATGGCATCATGCACTTAGATAGACTAAATGAGAGAAATAAGACACTTATGGTTATTAATATATTACAAGTTCTAGTATATTAATAATAAGAATAATAATATTTAATTAGTATTGATCAAGAATTAATTTAGAATTAATTATGTGATCAAAATAAGACTAATTAAATATATGGGTTGATTGTGCAAACCATCCATAACTTATATAGTAGGCCAAAGCTCCATGGATAATCAAGTTGGGTTAAACCCATAGGATGCTCCATGGATGTTATATAACCCATGGGTCATGGAAATGAAAGATCATGACAATTAGGGTTTACATGGTGTAACCCTAATTGTAACACACTATATAAGCATCATATTATTCACCAAAATCGGCACTAGTGTGTGTAAAAGAAGGGATAGCCAATTTCATGAGTTGTGGATTTCTCTCAAGTCATTCCAAGTGTATTTGGTGTTGTGTGAACCATTTGAGGTGTCACACTTGAGGCACTAGGCACTCAAGCTTCATGAAGACATTCTATATCAAAGAGGTATGTATTCTATCCTGTTATATTCATTATGTTGTATGCTAGATTAGGATAATACCTTGGATGTTCATAATTGCATGTATAATAGAGAAAACATGGATCCAAGGTATTTAGGGTTGCATGTACACTTAGGAGTGTTAGAATGCTCAAAACCCAACATATGCATCTACTACTCTTCACACCAACTCATACGCGTCCCAAGTATTGTCTCGCAATTCTCAAAGTTAGCATACAAGAAAATCACATAACAGTTTAACACACCAGTTAACAAAATGAAGGCTTTATTATTTTTTGAAACGACTACATAGGTGTTCAAGATCACCCTATACTATGCCGCTACTAGGCTACATCATACGATACTATCCCCTTGGTTACTTCATAACTCGATCTTCGGGTATGAATTCCTCATCCTCGATTCCTTGTGTTATTTTGTTGTTCGTCAAGGATCATGTGTAATGCCCTTGGCCTTGGTGGCGTGTTTGGCCTTGCTACCTCGTTTTTCTTTGGGCAGTCCCTAGAAATATACCCTTCTTTGTTACATCCATATCACACCTTCTTGTTGGACGCACACTTGCTGGCGTAATGCCCTGTCATTCCACATTTGTAGCAAGTCACCTCCTCGCTACATTTCCCAAAGTGCTTCTTTTTACATTTCTCGAACCACTAGGCTTCACCTTCTCCTCCTTCTTCAGTCTTTGAGAATTTCCTTTCTTTGTTGGATTTTGAAGGTCCTTCATGCTTCCTTTTCTCGCCAACTTCAGCTCTCTCTCTCCAGACCCTTTTCCTTAATCTGGGTCTCAACATTCTCGACTGCCCTAATGCCGGATTTCAATGTGGTAGCATGTTTGACCATTGGACCAAAGTCTGCTGGTAATCCATGGGAAAACTTGTTAACCTTGGAGAGTTCGGTTGGGACTAGGGAAGGAACCAACTTCATCTTTTCGGTAAAGCTTGCAGCGTATTCAGTAACGCTCATTCTTCCCTTCTTCGGATTCTAGAACTCCTTGTTGATTTCCAGAAGATCCTGCTCAGAGCAGTATTGCATCTTTAGTTGTACTAGAAAATCTTCCAAAGACATCTTGCTTCCTTCTCCCTTGGGCATCGTGTTAGCTAGTAGCCTCCACCAGCTCAGTACTCCAGACTTTAACAGAGGGATCGCGAGAGCGGTCCTCTGTCTGTTGCTACACTCCCAACTTTCAAACATTGTCTCCGTCTCGGAGACCCAATCCATAACTTCCACCGGTGTTGCGTTTCCAGAAAGACACGGTGGTTTGGATGCCATGAAATCCTTGTACTTGCATCCACGTCCGTCATTTCCTCACTACAAAAAATATGGCATTTAGTGGCACACAAAAAGTGCCACTAAAAACCAAAAAATTTGCCACTAAATCCATCTTAGAGAATCCGCGGCACACAAAATAAGTGTCACTAGAAACGCTCCCACTAAAACCCTTTAGCGTCACTTTTTTTTTTGCCGCTGCAATATTTTAGGCTTTTAGTGACACTCGTTTGTTTGTCACAATAGAAAAAAAGTTTTTGTGGCATATATTTTGTGCCATTGAATGCTTATTTGATTAAATAGTTCATGCCACTTTTAGTACATATTTTAAGATTTTAGTGTTACTATTTATTTGCCACAATAAATATAGTTTGTGGCAATTTCTTATTTGTTACAAAAGAATAAAGGTTTTTTTGTGTCACATATTTTATGTCATTTACTGCACTGCTTTTAGTTACATGTTTTTTATATTTTAGTTACACTTTTATGTTTATCAAGATAAAAATAAATATTTTGGCACATTTTCATCGGTAAATCTATAATTTAGACTACCTATATCAACATAAGTTTTATCTATAACATAAAAATATAAATGATTAAATTGTAGCACGTAAAAAATAACAAAATGCATCAAAATATGATAGCAAAATAGTAATATTTCAACTAGTAAGAGTCACATAATAGAAGTCAAAAACTCACAAATTAGTAATATAATCTTACAATCTCATTCCAAAAAGGTGAAAATCTCGCAACATCAAACTTATCATTTACTAGAGAACCTGATTAGCTACCTTAAGTGAATTCCTGCAAAATATAATTAAACATTAATATAACTATAAATGGAATTCTACAAATGTTGTTACAAAACGAGATCAAGAACACCTGTTTGAAAGAGAAATGTGGAGATTATCCATGAATGCTTCAAGGAACATCTCAAAGTTTTTGTTGACAGAACTCAAAGACCTAATATGAAAGCATTAATATAATATGAATTAGTTTTTAGTAAGTATGACACACACACAAACACACACACATATATATATATATATATATATATATATATATATATATATATATATTATAAATTAGTTTTTTAATAAGTATGTGCGTATTTCTAGTGAGGTTCACATATTATGTGAGTACACAAGGACGAAAAGGTAAATTTACCTCACCAAGATAAGCTTTAGCTCCAAGCTAGAAATCAACATTAACAGATATAAGAATGTAAAATATATGGTTGTCCAAAAGATAAATCTGCAATTCAAACATATACACAAGCATGAAGTGAAGAAAGTACAAAAGAAAACTGAACAAAAGCAGAATGTTTAACTTACAAAAACCAATGGGACCACAAGCTAGCAAAAATTAAGGCATTATGGTTGTTTGCATATAAAATCATTAAAATGATATGAAGCAAATGTTATTCCAAATATATTTTCAATATCACCAAATTTATACAACTTACTTTTCGATACAAGATCATTCCAAGAATATTGTTCTCCTCTATTGTCCTAAAAATGATAGAAATAAATGAAGCTAAATGTTTTAGCATAAAATATAAAAAAATAATATGTAAACTATAAAAATAAGAAAAGAACTCACTTTTGCCACTCGAAACCGCATGGATTGAACAGATAAGGAGCAAAAAGCCATGAAATAGTCATGAACCAACTACTAACACTCAGAAGAATGTAGCCCACTAATCCACCTTGATTATTAAAAAAAACATTAAAACCATAAGAGAGAGAGAGAGAGAGAGAGAGAGAGAGAGAGAGGTATGAGAGATAAAGAGAGAGAGAGACTACCTTTTGACAAAATGAATACATGAATAAAGTAGTGTTGTTGAGAACTTCAGCTCTTCACCAACTCTACATAGTGTCTAAAAATATATGAAATCTATATAAAACACTAATGCGAAGCTTTATATAAAAAAAATAAAACTTACCAAATACGTTTTTTAGTAAAGTAATATGTACATGCTGATCACTGTTAACTGCATATCAAAACAGAAAAGTTGTAAGAAAAGTTTTAAAATAAATAATATAAATTAATCTAAAAAGTATGTAGTATATCATGGAAGAAGTCAAAGAGTTGACCAAGTTTGTATAAAAATTTATCAGTCTTCCAAAGTAATATCTAAAATAAACAACAACCAACCACAAATTATTAAATTAGATTTTAGGTCCCCGAGTATTGTTAATTCTTGGAATTGTATTCCCAACAAATTCTCTCTTGCAATTTTGATACTTATTTAAGGTTTTTATAATATTGTTGGTCCCTGTTCCAAGTAATAGGACTATATTTTTGGCATCAGAATTGTGAACAATCATATTACTTGCAATATGCACAAAAACGTTATAAAAAGTTCAAATGAGGACCAAAGTTTCAAAAATCAACAATACTTGAGAACCAAATATGTTATTTATAATCATATATAAACAATAGTTTCAAACTTTCAATAACTTGTTCTATAACATTTGCATATAATTATTAACCTAAAGGTTTATATCTTTAAGGTTCATGTAATTAGCAATGCTTTTTATCATTGCAATATTATATTCTTTCCATTTTTTTATCTCATTGAAATTTTACATTGAGTTTCTAATGATTTTTAGACATTATTTATCCAAGCAACAAATTAGCGTTTTAATATTGATAGAATCATAGAACCCATATAAACTTAGCTTGGCTTTTTGGATGGGACTTCCTCTGGATTCATCTTTTATGTCAACAGTAGAAGTCATAATCTCTGCAGTGTTTTGTAAAAAATCATTAATATAAACAATACAAACATGCAACATTATAGAGATAACAATAATCAATAAAAAATCCTTACGCTTCTCAACAATGAATGCATTATTCTTGAGAATTTATGTAATTGTGACAATTGTGGCAATAGCTACAAGGATAACCAATATAAATCATCATAATCTAAATGTAGTTTAAATCTGCAACTGTATGAATTGAGGAGCTCAAGAAGAAGCCATATATTTGTAAAGTTCATTTGATTGCTATCTAATGATCAATTCCATTAACTTTGGTGGCTGATTGCTTATCAATCTTTGGTCACCTTCAATCCATACCCACATTAACAAATACTCGATTCTGATACATAAATCTAGATTACAACCTTACGATATTTACAAAGTAGAATCTTCATGATTCATAAATAATTTGCAAACCTAAAGCGTTCCATGATTCAAAATATGCAAGTACTTAATATACATTTTTTTAATATAGAAGGACCAAAAAACTTCACAATAGAAAACATATTAAACAATCAAATTTCAGAGAATTGAATCATCTTCCTCGTGTATCACTAATCGTGTGCGAATATGTACAGACACAAAGAAACTACGAAAACAGAGGCATTTTCATTGCATTTTTGTAATGAAATAGCACGAAGAGGTTACGATATGAGAAAATTATCCATCCCAAGGGCGGAAAACTCGACATCGTTATGATGTTGCATATACCTCTGTAATTAAACAACGTCAATCTCCAAACACAAAATTTCTTAGATCTAGAAGAATCAAAAAGAAAAATTCATATATGGTGTGTTACCTTAACGAGATTAACATAGAAAAAAAGAGGAATAGGCCGACGAAGACATTGTCAAAGTGAATTGAAGATGCGACTATGGCGACAACGGAAGCAACGATGCTGGCCGAAAAAGATATGGATCGGCGACGAAGTGATGGCCCGATGTCGACGAAGAAAGGGTGGCGATTGTGTGTTTGATCGATGTTTATGGGAGTTAAGAGTAGGAGTGGTTTCAGACTTTCAGTCATGTCACGGTTTCTTAGGTTAAGACATTGTATATTACAGGAAAACCTAACAGTTGAAGACAACCGAAGAGAAATTATTTTGTTAAAAATAAGACAATAAAATAAAAGTTAGAAGGGAAATAAAAAGTAAAATTTTAACGTTATAACTGGATTTTTATAAATACTGTAAGAATTATTTATGTAATATTTTTTATAAAAAAATTAATTGCTTATTAAATCATTTTGCCATTATTAACTAAGAATATTAGTGGCATAAAATATTAAATGTCATTAAATATATTGATTTTTTAGTAGCATATAAAAAGTGTCACTAAAAACATGATATAATGGCACATCAAATATATGCCATTAAAAACGTGTGTTACTATATGTCATTTTATTTGTAGTGCCTCCATCTTAATTGTTTCGTCTAACTATCGGTAGGTTGGCTTTGCCAACCGCCCCACTGTAGTTCCCTCCTTCTGGCTGCCCATCATTCAGCTCGGTCTGTTCAATAGGCATCATAAGTTCCTCTCGATGTTGTTAAAGTAAACATTTTGTTTCTTCCATTTGACGATCCAACCTCATCTGGATCATCGCTTACACTCCAACCATCGTGATTGGTTCAGGAGCGGCTACTACAACAGGTATTTGCTCAATCACTGGATGTTGATTCCTATTTCCATTCGCGTTCCCAACTCCACTTCAGGTTCTTTCCATTTTGATCTATACACCAGATCAGACGTTTGGTGTGTAATGACGAGAATTAAGATAGGAAAGATTTTATCTATGATTGACGTATAAATCTGCTTATCTCTCCGAAAAGTTATATACCAATTCTAATACCGTAATTAAATGTTTAGAAACCTGAACACATAAAGTTTCCAGATCCGGTCGGCAACAGACCATAGATCCAATCAAATAATAGTATATAGCATCACAAGTCATTTAGCACCTAAAAAAATTTAGGCATCATTCCTAAAATAAGCTAGTGCTTGTGTCTATTCAGGTGTACTACCTTAAATATATTAGACACACTCCTCACGATCATCGCTTAGCATTCTAAGTTTAAGTCGAGAAATAAATCCTTATTCCTAGTTTGATTAAACTAATGCTCTGATACCAACTGTGACATCCCCATTTTCACGGCCAAAAAAGACCGATTGTGTTTATGCTTTATATAAATAAGAGTACCTCTTTTACTAAGAATGTTGTTGAACTTGTTCCCAGAAAAACATGATAAATACGCTATCAAAACATTTCCGAAAAAACGTACTTCATTTATTTTAAAACATTAGGGATGTCATCATCAATACAGAAACATAAGCATAAAAAGAACTTACATTTATTTACACTAGTGATCTATATCTCCTTAATCTCTCAATGTAATGTAACTTCATATCGACACCCGTGATATAAATAAACTGAGTGTGTTCGATAAATTATTCCTTTTATATATCAGCTCAGATACCGATTTGTTGGAAATATAACAATCTGATCACCACAACAAACGGCTCGGTTACCAGTTACTGTGTGACAGATATATAAGTTTAAGATATAATATGTAAGTATGTATATATATATATATATATATATATATATATATATATATATATATAAAGAATAATAGTTGTGGAATAAGTATAAATATGAAAGATATAAATGACTGAAAGCTATAATAATATATATGATTGTATTTAAATGACGTAAAGCTATCAATAATATAAATGATTTTTAAATGACATAAAGCTATAATAAAATATATAAGTATATAAATATATATATATATATATATATATATATATATATATATATATATATATATATATATATATCAAGTAGGTTCGTCTATAAATTGACTGAACTGGACTCGTGGAACAACTGGTCGATATTTGTTTTTTTGGAATAATTGGTTGATATTGGGACTCTTTGAACAACGGGTCGATATTTGTTCTTTGAATGACTAGTCGATATTGTGACTCTTGGAACGACTAATCGATATTTGTTCACAGATCAATCCGACATAGGATAACTAACAAAAAGTTCATTTAAAGGTTGGTTTTATGTAAAATAAGTTGTTTACAAAAGGGTACAAAATACATGAGTTGATGTATTTGTATTTGAGGTATTTTTATGTAAAATCATGCACACGGGTCGTGTAAGATAAGGCATAAGTAACACGGGTCGTGTAGGAAGGTTTAGGAGGGTTTTGGAGGGTTTTCTTGATGACGATCAGAACACGGGCAATGTTGGATTTAGGCTTGGTTTGAACACGGGCCGTGTTGAAGTACAGAGTCAAACAGAAGAGTACACGGGTCGTGTCTGATATAAGGCATGTTGAATATGGGCCGTGTTCACGCAGATGTCAATTTCGGGATTTTTGTGATTTGAAGGTAAGTTTTGTTTGTGATGTTTTGGCTAAGGTAATGGTGTTATGGTATTTTGAGGATGTTTGCAAGGTTGTTTAGAGGTTGGAAGGAGGTTGACATAACGTGGTGATGGTGATGAAATTTCTATGAAGATGATGATGAACAGTGATGGTTTTGTTGTTGATCTTGATGAAGAAGGTTTTGGGGTGTTTCATGGTTGTGTTTTGGTGTTTTGATGTAAGGAAAGTGTTTGGTGGTGTATGGTGTGATGAAAAAAGATGGTGAAGATGAACAACCTTGAGTTCAATGAAGAAGATGAAGATGGTTGATGGTGTTCTTCATTTTGCTTGTTGATGATCTTGGTGTTCTTCACTTAATTGTTGTTTGATCTTGGTGTTCTTCACTTTCTCCAGGGATTTATCTTGGTGTTGAAGAAGATGAAGATTAGTGATGTTCTTGGGAGTGTTTCTAGGAAGTGTTACAAGTTAACAAAAATGACCACACACTCTTTTACACACAAACTCACTTATACATATATGAGTAAGAAATATCTTCATGCACTTGAGTTTAAGTGAAATAGTTGGCTGCAAGTTGTGGTAGAGTAGGAGGCAAAAACGTGGGTCTTCATTTTGCTTCTCATTTCCATGATTTGTTGACTTTTTCCTTTGTTTTTACTATTCAACACAATATATCTATATATAATACATATATACATATATAATACACACACACACACACACATATATATAATACATATATACATGTATAATATATATATATATATATATATATATATATATATATATATATATATATTGTTGAACTGTTCAGTCACAAGACTAATTTTTTTCATCTTTGTGTTTTCTATCATTCGCGTGTTTTCGTATTTTCCGTTTCGATTACACATTCATGCAACCTGAAATAACTGATAATATTTGTTAGATAATACAAAAACAGTTAATCTTATTTCAGTGATGGTCACATACAAGGTCACATACAAAAATATTTTTCAACGATTTCCCCCTATGTGATCGTTGCTGGAATAAGGAAAGTTATGATTTAATCATATTGACTGTTTAGAACTTTTGAAGATTCTAGATAAAAGATTTGTCAATAGATAAGATATATATAAAAAATAGTAATTGATTTGAAAGTTTGTGACTTGGTTTAACATATCTTATGTAAAAGATTTTCAGAAATTTGTTTCTGAATCAAATTCTCGGGTTCGGTTATCAAAGGGTAGCCATATATGTATCTAAAGAAAGTTCCTAAGATTTTATTGTATTATTAATGACGACAAGTGGTCTAACAGGTCGATTTAGATGAACGCTCATAGGTATAGCTCACACTTCACTTGGGTATTTAGTTGTTGTGGAAGCAGAACAAGTTAATTATCACTAAAAAATGAGTGATATCTCCCTCTGATGACTCACAATCATAATGGAGGTGTTCAGCTATGCTTTTCCTGAAAGGTCACTTAGTCTCATTATTATATAATCAATCACATAAGACTGGTTTCGAAATCACTCAACGGGTTTCTTCATTCATGCCATTAATGTTCACTCTCTCTCCGTCGGGAAATACATGTAGAAGGGTTTAGCAATTTTCATAGTGCAGTTTGCAACCAAGATTCTTCAGTGATGAAGGCTACAGTATCCCGGGAAATCCAATGTTGTTGTAGCTTCTTCTTTGATGGTATTCTGTTTGTTGATCAATATCGATTTTTGTAAAAAGATATTTTGTTTTAGCATTGAGAACTTCCTACATTTGAGAAAATTGGGCTTTTGAGAGTATATGTCTTGCAGGATTAAGATATATTCTTTTGTGAAAAATGTTTAAAAGCAGATCACAGGATCTTATGATGTTTGTTTTGAAATAACCATTTGGTTGAAAAGTTTGTTTGAAAATACCAAATGTAGAATATTTTTGGTTTCTTTGGTGAATGATTTGGCCTGTTTTTGTTGATTCATCTTTATCTTGACTCGTCTTTGAAGATTGGATGTGGATAGATCTTTGTTTTTCTTTGATAATTGACTGTTGAAATCCTTTTCGTTTCATTTTTTCTTGTTGATGGATCACGGGATCTCAAGAGTTCATTTTTTGGTTGGCTTATATCTAGGTTG